GGTTGGCCCCTTTCCGTGCTTCGACGAGTCCGACTCGCGACGAGGATCTTTGGCCCCAAAGCGAATATCGCGAGCCAGACTCGCGAACGGACAGTGTAGGGCGAAACGTAATTATCGCAAGCCAGGTTCGCGAACGGAAAGTCGAGGGCCAAACGTAAACGTCGTACCGCCTACCGCTTGGGTCCAGTTTCGTCGAGCTAAGTGGCACGGCAAGGGGTTAAATACCCCTTAAGCAGTCGCTGCTCGTTCGTTCGTTTCCGAAGAACGTCAGAGACGTCAGAATCTTCCGAGTACGTCGAACGATCCGATAAAGCGAAGGTCTATCAGCGATAGACGCGTAAACAAATTCGGTAAATTCGCGCGTATTATATGCGTGCAAAGGCACAGGATTATGAAACTTCCATCGCGTACCTTTCGATCGAAACTCGCTCGTATTTTGCTTCTTGAGGCGGAATAAACGCAGAAAGAAACGAACGACGACGTGTGCGTACGCGTCGATGCGTAGGACGCGCATAGATGGAGAAACAAAACGTGGCGCGATGTCGTGGCGTCGGTGGCGAAGCGCTAGGCTGAAAATCTGTCGATATCCCGGCACCGGCGGTCAAGCGATCAACCGAAAATCACGCGTTATCGCGACACGTTGTAAGAACGATCGAACGAGCAACGTTCTCTCGTAAATCGGTACGAAGCGATACTTTTTCCTACCGAAAGACACCTGTTGACCGTGCGGCGTGCCACGTATCGCGGTAATCGCGTGTGACTCGAAACCGTGCAACCGAAAAACCATCTGTCGTCTGTGCGTTAAAATCGTGAAAACACGAGTGGCGGTCGTTTACGGGATCTTGTGCACGATCGAGATCGAGTCGTTGGTTGGCATGTAAACGACGCTCGTGTTTCGCGATCTAAACGACACGAAGGCGCTGGAAAACGACGGCGTTCGTTCGTAAAGAGGATCTCGGTGTCGGCGCTGATCCAGCGGACAAAGAAAATGAGAAGAAAGACGCGAGATCGAACGGTATTCCGGCGATTTGAAAGGGAAGCGCGTGGTCGCGTCGGTGAACGAGATATCCTTGGAGAGAAGCAGGTGGCAGGGAGGAGCTGCAGCCGAATCGGAGATCCTGTGGGAAGCACAGGAAGTCAACGACTCTTCCGAAGTGGTGTTCCCACGATTGGTGGCGAGTTAGGTAGTAGTGGGGTGTCCCGCGTGGCACCCTTCGTCAAGGAGGCACCGCCGAGTTGCTCACGGTCGGGGCAGATGTCGAACCCTGTGGGAAACCGACTCCCGTTTTATATCTGCGCGCGCGCGCACGCGCGTACACACACACGTACGCGTAGTTTTCGCCCTTGCCTTCTCGCCTACCTATCGGATAGCGATTCCCGTCGCTGTCGATCCACGATCGCGCTCTCTCTCTCTCTCTCTTCTTCTCTTTCTTTTTTTCCAAACGCTCCGAACGCGATCTCTCGCGATTTTTCCAAACGCGTATTTTATTCGTCTTTGCGTAACCGGGCCGCCTCTTGCGAAACGCGCGACGCTCTCGACGAGAGAAAGAAAAGAAAAGAGGAAGAAAAAGAACAGAAACGCGGAAGAAATCAGCGTAGTAGCGTAGTCTGGATCTTCGCAGCCTGCGCGTAGCGGCTCGTATAACGCGCATCTGTCAGGATCTACGGGGGTCTAAAACGGTTCCCACGCTACCTGTCCCGTTCCTCCTGTACGTACTACGCGTACCATATCCTTCCGGCTGCCATATCCTTTCGCGTAGATGAAATATACGCGCCGATTCGAACGAAAATCGATACCGCTGCACGCGTACTTGACGCATCGTCTCGTAATTTTACAGGTCCGGAAGGATACGACAGTACGAAGCTGGCGATGGATTACCACGCGGTCGGCTGGGGCGAATGCGCGGCCGAAGTCGGTCGCTACTTGGTCACGATGGAAGGCCTCGACGAGAGGGATCCTCTGAGGTTACGATTGCTCTCCCATCTGCAAAGTTTTCACCGCGATCATCCTCCGTCCGCTGTACCCTCGTCCGTGCCCCCGGCGACGAGTCTGACGTCGTCTTCGACGAGCAGCAGCTACGAGCCGGCGGCGAGCTCGGTTCCCCCTGGAATGCCACCTGGAACGGGTACTATGCCACCTCTTCTGGGTGGTAGCGCGCTCGGATGGGGCCAGTATCCCGGCCAGTATCCCCAGCAGCAACACGGTAAACCTTATAGACCGTGGGGTGCCGAACTGGCCTACTGAAACGCGGCCCATCCTTAGGCGAGTTTCGCCACTTTCTGCGACTTCTTATCATCTCGTCTCGTTTTCGAACGAACGTAGAACTCTCTCCTGATTTCGTATTCCTCTCCTCGGGGAATTCTCTTTTCTAAGGTACCTAATAACCATCCAAGCGGATGTTATCTATTTATTCGGTTCGACTGGACTCGCGATGCCTGCCGATCGAGCCACGACGTTGTACATAGATTTGTATATAGATATAATCGCAATTATTGTAAATAACGAAACGCGATCGAAATCGCTCGCTCTTATTTCTATTTTTTACTCCTTTATATTTCACGTTCCTCTTGTGACGAATATAGTCTGCTCGTTTGTATAATAATCGAGTCGAAGATGTATCGATCGAACAAGTGCCATTAAACGTATCGCGCTGCCTACGTCCTATGGAAGAAAACGCTCAAAGATGTTTGCAATAAAACGACGATAACGAAACATACTATAACGTATATTTATTTACTTATGTACATATAGACACGTACGTTATATCCGACTTCTCGTTTCTGCCGCTACGTTTCCCGCCGATCGAGTCAAATTCACGAAACCATCGAAACGCGCGAGTATTTATCTCTTCTGCCGACTTATTCTCTGCTCGCCTCTATCCCCGCTCCTTATCCTCTATCATCCCGGGTTTTCCCCGGAACAGGATTCGCGCTATGCCCGCTGACGCATCGTGCTCCTAACGACAAAGTCCGCCAACTATTCTTATGCAAAGATTCGTTTTGCAGCTTGCCGAGGCCAACTATTGGTCGCAACGAGAAACAAAGTAAGCGTCCGTGGTAGGGTTCCGCTCGAACAGCGGCATACGAACCAGTTTTGCGACTCGTTAAACCTTCCATAGAGAATACGTTCGCAAAACGGGAAATTCGCGCAGCTCGTTACGATCGATGAGAATAATTAGCCGCTGCTGCTTCTCTCTTTTTTTTTTCTTCTTTTTCTTTTTTACGAATATTCGAAATCCACGGGGAGTAGCCGAGCTAATTGTCAAACAGGAAGAATAGTGCGTGGGCACGTGGCTATTGTTCGATGCCGAGCCGCCGAATTACCGTCGCCTCTCTTTGCTCTTCGCGCTCCTCCCTTTTCTTGCGAACGTTACCATGGAACGCTGCTTGTTAGTTGTACATACCTATTTCGCGCGTTTAAGAAACTCGCTCGATCGTTAGTGTCCGCCACTCGATCGATCGCCAAACGTAACTCCTCTACCTTCACCTATGCACAAGTACAAGTACCTATGTACCTCTTTGATCGCAAGCGTAAACGCGTTATGCTGTACCTGCATATGGATACACGAGTTACGTGTTTTGCGTTATCGAGAACGAACGCAAGCTTCGATCGAAGCTTCAACGACAAGGGTCATAAAAACGTCGAATAATCGTCGACAAAACTATTTTATTTACGATATATTCGCGTGCATTAAAAAGTCACAGCCTCGTCGGACATACTTACAATAAGATATCGCCACTCGTTCGTTATCGTACATCGTCGTATCTATGTACATTCGCGCATATCCTATAACTATGTACATATAGATTCACGTAGTTTCACACATCTGTACATATACCTATACATGTAAATACGATACAAGTAAGTACACGACGCGTACAAACGTTATACCTAAAACTATGGTCGCACGAGAGAACCAAACGTTCGACATTATCTTAACATAAATCGTACGACGTGGTAATTCGAAAAGAATACTGCGAGTAAAATACGAGAGCGGCCTTGACTCCCGCGCGCTTCTTCCGCGAGCTTGAACCTAAGCTTACGACCAGCGGAACGTGCGTAGCCGGCACTCTGTCGTACTTGCGTAAGGAGTGCAACTTTCAGCACTAATTTGTACCATAAAACAATTTGATATCTCTGTGAGCATATCGTGTGAGCAAAATATCTTATCTCTAGAAATAATACTTTCGATAACGAAAATGTTTAAATCGCGCGTCATCGTGCATTTCAGGTAGATTATTTGCATATATCGAAGCATCGATATCTCTCGATTTACGTCTAAGAAACAACGTATTTTTCTCCTTCCTCTTTTCTCGCTTCAGTTCCTCTACTGTCCCTCTGTTCGCTATCAACGATTAAATGCCAGCATCCAATCGAGTCGACGCGAGATCGAAATAACGAGTAAGCGCTCGTGAGAAAAATCCGACTCGATCGAATCGACGAACCACCAACGTGGTGGTATATCTACCAACGTGTCGCTCTTCGGAAGACCGATGTAAGTACGTAATTAGACTATTCTTTCTTTCTCTCTGTTTATACGTTATAAACGTTATAAACAAATATATATCTAATAGGCTCGATTTCACCCGACGTTACATCCTTCGCTCTTAAGAAGTATATATAGCTATTTTTTTAGACGGTTCGTTGCATCGTGAAAAAAAAGTACGTAGGTGACGTATATATCCTCTTTGATAGAACGTAGGATTCGGCGTGGTCCAATTTTCGTTAAAATTCGAAAACTCGAAAGATAACCGAGCGTACGACCATCTTATAAAGCGAACCGCAAAGGATATCCAAATGGCCGCCAATACTTGTGTTTTCTTTTTATCCTCTCGACTCTTCCATGTTCCATCCCGTTCGTCGATATCGTGGCTACGTTAGTACGCTCGAGGCGACGACAGCGACCACGAGATTTAGATTCGTCTGGCCAACGAAGAGAAAGATGGAAGTAACCGTATGGATTAAATACTCGTGGCAACCGTAACGTCGCATACGTTAGATCATCATTTCGTTCTCTATGTTCTCGTTTCGCTGATTCTCTTCGTATTCGTCACAGAAGCAACACATTGAGCCACCATCCTCGGAATTGTCGGCAACGTACGTCGTGAACGTGTCGATGCTCTTCGTATCCAGAGACGGTAAAGACCACGAAAGAGACTCTGTCTCCAACTCCGGCATGGCCGAGTGCCAAGAGGTCGAGTTTTGTGACTTTTTCGCCTTGCGGCTTCTCGTTGACAATTTCTTGATGGCCTGCAAATCGAAACAGCGGCATACGATATAGTCTCCACCGCCTCCTTTATCTTTTCTCTCTACCGTTTTAGTCCGATTGATTCGAATTAATCAGCGAACAAACGAAACGTCATCGTCGAACTCTATCGACAACTCGCTGAAACCGATTAAACATTTTGAACCGACTATATAGCAGCAGTAGGTTAGGTCGTAGATACGCGTAGTACATGCACCTTACAAGCAAAGCATATGTCCGTGCGAGTTGGGTTGTAGTTAAACGAATCAATGTCGAGCAAGGCTAAAATCACGCTGACGAAAATTACACGGCCCTGCGTCGTATGAAAAATGTCCTATATAGAATTGATCGAAGCTTTAGTTAGACACGTGTAAAGAAATCTTGCAATGTACACGGGAAACGAGGAAAGGTTCGCTTCGTTACGGCGATTAGACGAAATTAAACTAAAATCAAAATAGCGACATCAACCCGGTGACTAGGTTAACGATGCGAAACGCGAGGTTAAAGAAATCAGGTCGGCCGATGCGACAGAAACGTGCGTGTATACGTGCGTGCGTGCGACATAGTCGAAAGGGATAATTGTCATCGCCTTACCCTAAGGAATCTGCGACCAGATTTGCTCAGCAATTTTCGTAACATGTCCGATATCCGAATTTCCTTTCGATTGCCAGGAAAATTGAACGTAGCGGCGGCTGTAAGATTGATTTTTGACCGATACGAACTCTCACCGTGCAAACGAATCAGTTCGATGCGCACGCCTCAGCGTCGCGCGACCAAATACCGCTCCGAGCCACTAGACGGTCCTATTTATCACCTCGGCTGGCCGGATCTTATCGTACCACGCTGTACGAACCTCCCTATCCCCACTCAAACACTCACTGTGTACTACTTCCGAGTGGAATCGCGTTTCTACCTTATTGTACAAAGAGCGAACTTCATGAACGAATGGAGGAAGGGTAACCGAGTATGTACGTACCTCGCTGCTTACCTCTTCCCTTTTTTTCAAACGTACGCCAATCCTCTCATCGGTTACATATTTGAAAAGCACTTTTCCCTGCTTTATCTTCTATTATTTCTTCTTTTCCTTCCCATTCGAAACGCTGTCTATCGAAATACTAAAACGGAAGTGGAACGAGTATTCATACTCGCGACATACTCGCTGATCCATAGAGGATACGAGGGTGAAAGATCGAATCGAATTAAAGCGCGATCGATTCGACCTTTGCGATCGTATCGATAGCGAATGTATAATTTTTTCGTCGTTTACGATCGCGATGATACAAACGCGATACGTATCGATCCATGTTCGAAGATGATGGATACCGACGAAGCTGAGAGAACAAAGAAAAAGGAAAGAGAAAAGAAAGAGAAGAAGAGGAGGAGTGCTCATTGAAAAGTTGGAGGGTGGCAGAGGCGCGTGGCGCGGTCGCGGGTACGCATGCGTGTACGCAAAGCTAGTAGACGCAATACATAGTAGATATGCACGTGCGCGACGTAACGCGTGTGAGCGAAGCTGTTCTCACGCGGCGACACGCGGCCACCATCTCCCCAATGCTCGTCGCCACGTGCCACCTCGATGCACCCACGGAAAACTCATAATTGTCATAACATTAGAGCTGTGCTCGCTCGAAGGAACGCCAATAACGGCTACTCGATCTACGAAAGTAAGTACTCTTCTTTGTAAAATCCCTCTGCACATTCGTCGGAATAAATGGCTACACTTCCTTTATGCTTCTGGCCACGATTTCATAACACCGCGATCGTTTCGTACGCGATGCTCGCCGCGACCGTTCGTCGCCTTCAATCACCGAATAAGAGGTACCTTTATCATTGCTAGGTCGTGTCGCATCTTCGGGAAATCATTGTCACCTTTCATAAGGACGAGTTAAACGATTCTAAAGTAGCGTCATACGGACGACGTCACAATGCACCATTCCAATTACATCGATGACGTCAAACAAGACTACTTGCATCTTGAATTGTCCTGAAACTAGTTCGCCATCCTGTATATCTACCATACCATATGTACATAAATATATGTAGGAAGCATGTACGAAATTCGATATAAGTAACAACGTGATAAAATAAAAGAGAAAAGATGCTTGACGCAAAGATGCGTGACGCATCCTCGTATCCCCTTTGCCTTGTCAGTTTTTAATCTTCGTATATTCGAACAAGCAAAGTAACCAAATCATCATGGCACGTGCCAAATATTTCCGACAGCGGTATCTAACCACCCGCTTTTTTCGCCCCGGTTAAACATAATACTCTGAACGTGGCCCGGTGACTCGACAAGCTATATACGTACTTAATCGGTCAAAGCACGTCAGTGTTCTTAAAAAAAAAAAAAAAAGGGAAAATCGAATTTTCGGAAAAGAAACGGCAGTTGTATATTTTCAACGAAGAAAAGAACGTGGAAGGGAAGAAAGAGAGAAAAGGGAGTATCGATGAAATAAAAAAGAGCGTAATCATTTTTAAAGGAAACAATCGCCGATATCGATAGAGTAACGAGCGACGCGTGCCGTGTCACGTGTCCCCCGATGCTCGCTCAAACATTATACACGACATGGCGTGCGCAAAATAAGTCTCACCTAATTGCGACGGCTGTTCCATTAGAGATTAAACTTCAAACGAGATTCGGTCAGATTCGTTCGGTTAATTAAGACAGCTCTCCCAAGTATAACACCGTCTTTGTATTCCCTTCCTTTCGTTCGGAGAGAGAAAACCGACGATATCGTATATCCAACGATTACCGCCCTACCTTCTGGCTTCCCGAAAATCATCAATACGGCACCATTGTCGTTCGATCGCGTTATAATCGATCGAACAAAATTTCCTCGTGATTCGAGAAATTGCACAAACAAACGTGCCTCTCTGACAATAGGAAAGTACAAGGATAGAAGGGACAATAGGGAAATCTGTTTATTCGTTCAATGAAAGTCAAAAGTCGCAGTATCGAGGTTGTTTAACTACTTTTACTAACCTCGATATATTACGTAAATCCGAGAGAACCATTCTTAATCTGTTACTCTTCTTTTCACTATGTCACGTATTGCTCGAGTTTCATTACGTCAAATTCACTTGTCACAAATATTTATAGAATCGTGATTTTCGTCACGCGTTGATCCGTAATAAACCGAAAACAGAAATAGTCACTAACATCCGAGCGAATCATTTTCAGCGTGATAATAAACGATATTTCTTTCAACGACAAGTCAGCGAAACAACGATAAACTATCTGTCATACTTGTCGATACGAAGAGGAATAGAAAATTTGTATACCTGTGGAAAGGTAGAAGCGAACTTATGTACACCTGTACTGGTAACGTGGATGCGTACAAGGTCCAACTGTATAGCGGACGCGTGGATAAAGGAAAAATGGAAAAAAAGGAAAAATAGAAGCGTTGATCTTTTGGAACATGGAGTGTCCGTTCCGTGGGAAACGTCGCAATTCGATCCTCACACGCCTTGCTTCGCATTGATTTAGACGCTCAAATATCGATTGACCAATGCTAAAATACCAGCTCAAATTACATAAACAACCAAATGTACATCTACATTTTATTCGATATTATTTATAAATACTTTTTGCATTCTACGTACAGAGATTCAATGGAGAAAAATAATCACTTTAATTAGGGCATAAAATGTAAGTAACCTTCTGATACGAAATAAATTGGACCGATTCCTTCCTTTGAACATAACGAAAATATATTTATTTACATTTTGTGGTATGAATCGCGTTAAATGTAACAGCGTCATGTACAACAAACAGTTCAAGGGACTAAAAGAGGTTTGTGCAGTGTGTCCGCGTCGTATGGTATATTTCTCTTGTTTCCAGGTAATAACATTGGCACTGTTTTAACGCGAAGCTCATAGGGAAAGAAATCATGACAAAAATTGTAAAAATCGTTTCGAGTATGAATAATATCAAGCCGTGCCATTTCTTTCATCAACGCGTACAATTCAACTTTATAATTCAAGTATGATTTACGTTTGGCGATCAACGTTGTTACACTCGACAACTGATGTATAAATTTTTCAGAAACCACTCTAGTTTCCAACTTGAATCTCGGTTCCATACACTTCCACAAGTATTTATAAAGACGATCGGTAATCCAGTATTGGGGACGGGGAAGCCGAGGGGCTCTGTACGCTCGCCCATTCACCAAAAAAGCCTTATGGACTTGTTTCATAGGACGTTGCTTCTGCAATGTCGACTTCGTATTTTTCTCAATTTTGTTTATTTTTTCTTCCCGCGAAGGCAACTTCTTTTGAACTTCTTGCTTGTTTCTATCTATTTTCATACGAGCTATTTCTCGTTCCTTCACCCTCTCTAATTCTCGTTTTATTCCATCTATTTTCTCTTTATCCGAAAACATTTGCAATGTCGGCAATGTTTTATCCGACATCAAAAAGTGCCTGATGCTTGTCTGGCCTTTTGGCTCCTCGCTATGTGTGTTTGTACACGTTTTGACCACCGTTGAATGTCGCGAAGGAGACGAAATTGCTTTTTCGGAAGGAGACGGAATTGCTTTTTTAGAAAGAGACGGAGTTGCTTTTTTGGAAGGAGACGGAATTGCTTTTTTGGAAGGAGACGAAATTGCTTTTTTGGAAGGAGAAGACGGCAATCGAGAAAGATGTAGTGCTTCAGAGACCTTTGATGATTTCTGTGAATGTTCTGCTATTCCATCGGTTGTTGCATTTTCTCCTATTTTAATAGTACTTTCTTGATCTTCAAGTACATTTTCAAATAAATTCTTCTTTGCATTCTTATTATTATTTGTTAACAACTTTGATTTCCATTTTAATATTTTATGGTATGTGTCACTGTTATTGCTTTCCTTAGCGCTACTATGTACAGACAAACTGCTACTTTCGAGTATTGTACTCTGCGCTTTTGGCATCGCAAAATGTATAGAATCATCCTCAAAATTTAATGCAAACCGATTCGACTCTGTTTCGCTGGAAACTGATGTTTCGGTTGTTGCAGGAACTAAGTAGTTTGTTGCCATTTGTAACTCATTATTTTTATTCTTTGAAATATTAGACTTTAGTTTTGAAATATCATCAGTCTTTTGACTGTGATTCAAACTATATCCTTGTATCTTGTTTAATTGTTCAATGTTAGCAACTGTTTCGCTACTTGATGCAGAATTACTCTTAGAACTTTTTTTTCCACTTCTCTGCATAACTTTTAACTTAGTTGTCGTAGAATCATCTAAAACATTTGAAAAAACATTATCTTTGCTTTCTGTTACCTTAGAACGCGAAAGATATTTTCCTTTTGCAATTTTAGGTTCTTCGGATTCCGACATTAGTATATTATTAGTCTTCTGTGCAATTCCTGGCGTAGTTGTCACAGAATCGTTTAATATATTCGAACCAATATTATCTTTGCTTTCTATTGCCTTAGAACGCAAGGGAAATTTCCTTTTTGCAATTTCAGGTTCTTCTTCAGATTCCGACGTTACTACATTATTATTTTTCTGTGTAACTTCTGACGTAGTTGTCATAGAATCATCGAAAACATTCAAAAAAATATTATCTCTGCTTTGTTTTGCCTCTGAACGCAGAGGGTGTCTCTTTTTTGCAATTTTCGGTTCTTCTTCTGATTCCGACGTTATTATATTATTACTTTTGTTTTTAACGTCTGACTTGGTTGTTACAGAATCGTTTAAAACGTTCAAAAAAATATTATCTTTGCTTTCTCTTGCCTTTGAACGGAAATGGTATTTGCTTTTTGCAATTTCAAGCTCTTCTTCAGATGCCGACGTTACTATATTACTATTTTTCTTTATAACTTCTGACCTAGTTGTCATAGAATCATTTAAGACATTCAAGAAAATATTGCCTTTGCTTCTTTTTGCCCTTAAATGCAAAAGATTTTTCTCTTTTGCAATTTTAGATCCTTCCTCGGATTCTGAAGTGACTACATTATTATTTTTCTTTTTAACATCTGACTTAGTTATTATAAAATCGTTTAAGACATTCGAGGAAATATTATGTTTGCTTTCTGTTGTCTTAGAGCGCAAGGGAAATTTCCTTTTTGCAATTTCAGGTTTTTCTTCAGATTCCGACGTTACTACATTATTATTTTTCTGTGTAACTTCTGACGTAGTTGTCATAGAATCATCTAAAACATTCAAAAAAATATTATCTCTGCTTTGTTTTGCCTTTGAACGCAGAGGGTGTCTCTTTTTTGCAATTTTCGGTTCTTCCTCTGATTCAGACGTTATTATATTATTACTTTTGTTTTTAACGTCTGACTTGGTTGTTACAGAATCGTTTAAAACGTTCAAAAATATATTATCCTTGCTTTTTCTTGCCTTTGAACGCAATTGATGCTTGCTTTTTGCAATTTCAAGTTCTTCTTCAGATTCTGACGTCGGTACATTGTTAGCTGAATCTAATAAAATGTCATAATTAATAAAAAGTAGTTTTGTAACATATACCTCATAGATTAAAGGAACATACTTTTTTCTACGACATCTTCGTTTATTTTGGGAGAATTTGGAATACTTGAAACATCTAATATTTTCCACCATTCACCTGTAACCTGGCTTGTTTCTATTTGTGAATTAGAATCTAAATGACGACTAGTTTGATTTAAAAATTTCGAATCAGTTGATAGTTGCGTTAACGAAGTGTCTTCCAACTTTTTCCACCAGTATGGGTATTCTGAAATATAAACACTATAATATGTATACTGTTTCATAATATAAATACCTAACCTAGACAAAGTCGTCAAGCGAATACATACCATCACTAAAAATATCCGTATCGGAATTTAAAATAGCAGAACTGTATCTAGACCGACGTTTGTTTAAACTTTTTCGTTTAGCCATTTTCAATAATATTTTAAATATTTGACATTTTTACAAAAACTATAATTTTCGTGTTATAATAACACTTAAAGTTCTATGATTCTTATTTATATCTTTCTTCTTATAAAGCTATTAATATCTGATAACTAAAGGTATAGTCCAAATAGCAAAATAAAATGATTAACCACTCTAAACATAAGTTAGTACATTACATATATTTAATACAATAGTACGAAACTACGAACACACATTTCTCCGTGTATATGTTTCTTTCTCACATAGAATGTGCGCTCTGTTCCTCGCGCATGTTTCTACCGCCAAAATAACCGAAACAAAAAATGTGCGTGTGGTTCGACCGTTTGACCGCTAAAGGCAACTCGTAGAGCGTACTTTTGGCTAAACTTTTTCCATGTTCATCAGCGATACCCCTATTCATCTCTGATTATAATAAATACACTAAATATAATGAACAATAAAATATATGCAAATAAAATCAAAATGTAATATATGGTGTTATTTTACGCTTTATTATTATATTTTTTTGTTATTGTTAAGCATAGTCATACATAATCATAGAAGTATAAGTATATCATACATATAAGATTATTAAATCAATCGCATTCAGAGTTACTAATTTCGGAGCATAAACGGAAAGTTTGTGTAAATTATGCTCTTGTACATGTAAAATTAGAAAACTTTCACATACAAAGTCTAAAGTTTATATACGCTTAATACAAACGTGAAATATGTATGTGAAGGTCACACGGTAATTCGCATTTTAAAATGATATTAACATAATGGAAATTTTCATAAATACTAATATCAGAAACCTTGTTTATAATACATACATAGATAAATGAAATAGGTACTTCTGTGTGATCTCAGCCTTAGATAAAAATCTCTTACTTTACTATATATTTATTTAGCTTTCGTAGATGAACGTGATCTAAGATTTTTCTTAGTCGCTTGGTCAACTTCTGGCAGATCGTCATCCTCGGACATGGCAGTTTTTTTTCCTAAACAAAAATCAATTTTGTACTTAAAATTGATGCTTTCAGTGTACGTTAACGATAGGAAAGTTCCTAAAGTCTTGTTTACCTTCTTTTTTCCTTGGCTTTTGTTTTGATTTCACTGTTGTTTGTACAGGAACTACATTTTCACGGGCACGCTTAAGTTGCCTCGAAATAAATACATAAGAAAGGTACGTTTGCAAGATAATGATATAGGTCAAAGCTGTAAATCTTATGGCTGGAATATTAAAATTTCCAGTTGCGAAATTGAATACACTTTCAACTTGGCCTAAACCATACAAAAACACTAACGTTGCAATAGGCAACGTTGCAACGCGTACGAAAACGTACATCGAGTTAGCAACGAGGAATGCCACTGTAACAAAATAATTGTAGAATATTACGAAAGAAGTAATTTTATATAAAACAGTATACCTAATGAAATTATACCCACTTTTTGTCATCTTTTCTTTTTTACCGACAAAATGTACAAGCCTAGCTCCATGAAGCATAGCATCTCCTATGTAATGTGGAACTAATAGTAAGATTCCTACTTGCTGGAAACTGTATAAAATAAGAAAGTATTAGAAAATAATAACTAATATTGTACACTGCATAGAAAAATATGTATGTCATACTTAAAGATATAAGCTGCAACAGTGGAAAAGAATCCAATAGTTGCTTGTACAATTCGAGGAGGTATATCTTCCTTCTTTACTCTTTGAAAATATATTTCAGGATAACAATGCAACCAATAAGCAAGTTGGCAAATAAAGAACAATTTTGAGGAAAATGACATTGGCACAGGGTATTCCTTCCACAATAAAGTTATGTTTAATAACAAGTCCTCTCTAAAGGAATCATAAATTTATATTACATTTAATTATATAAAAAATAACTATATTTATATTTGATATAACAGACCTGATAATTATGTCTATACCCCATATAACAGATAGTATATAAAATAAAACAAGTTGACTGGATTCATTAAATTTAGCAAGTTTTACTTTACTAAGATGTAGACGTTTTGAAACTTTCTGAAAAAAGGAAATATAAATGTTAGTAACGGTTTTATTGGAAATATTTAGAATAAAGAAAATACAAATTAATGCATCTTACATCAAAAATATAATCTTGAAATACGGCGTGCATTACAATTGTTATCAAGAAAGAGAAAAATATAGCACATGCGTCTTTCCAACCAGTAGTATATTTCATTGGCATAGTCGGATCTTCAATATCTGAAGTTATATTGTGATGAATAGCGATAAATGTATATGCCCATGGTGATGTTACCTAAAAAATAATTTATAACTTATAATAGTGTATAAGTAAGCAAACATTGTGTTAATCAAGAATATTATGTTAATATAACTTCACTTAAGCTCGATTTATTACATATATTCGTATTGGTTAACAAATAATGGCAATGGCAAATAACATATGGTCATCGAACTAACGATAATTGGAACTGATATTAGGTATAAACTGTTCTTCGAACATAAAGTGAAATATATAAAAATAAAGAAAATCATCGTTAGCGAACTTTGAAAAATATGTATGGGTTAAATAAAAATATCATTGAAATTGAAGAAACTGAATACTGACCTGTAGCAATAAACCCGTTATGAAGATCATAGCCACACAAGAAACAATATCTCCATGATTTTGAATAATGAATTCATGACTGAATATAGGAGGGTTTTTATTTGAATTTTTGCGACCTTTTACTGCAACCATTATTTCCCAGGATTAAAAGCACCGTTCTTGTGACCACACGCGTCAACGACTTATTAAAAGTACCGTCAAATAATTCAACGTGTACTCAATTATACCAATACCTATATACATATACTATAGGCAACAACGCAACACACGTCGTACCGGGAAAGCAATAAATTAAAGCATGCGACCAACATTGAACAATGTGGCGCTTTCTGTCTTTACTTGTTGGCACCACGTAAGTCAGGAAAATTTTGAAATATATAACTCGGTCAATATATTATATGGTATGCATGTATTTCTCATATTTTCGTGATATTAATTGAAAAATTAATTTTTTCTGACATATAATGAAAATTATCTCAGTTAACAATATTTTATACATTATTATACGGATGTTCTATTGTTTGTAAGTGCGATGATCAGTCTAATCCAAGGATCGAAAATAACTATTATATATATATTTATAAAACTTCTATGAAAAAAGAATATTGACTAATGATGAAGAGATAATTAAAAATTATTTATAAACAATATCCAATTTCCAATACATAATAAATTATTCACACGTGTATAAAATTGACGAATATAACAATAATATTAAATCATACGACAGGAAACATTATAAGATACACTTTATTAATAATATTAGGTACATTTTTAGTGGTCACAATATTCTTATACATATTCCTATGCATTTATCGTTAAAACTATGCAATCACCACAAATATTTCGCGACACTTTAAATATTTATCTATAAATAAATATGTTAATAGTTATGTGACGGTAAAGAGAAAATACATATTTAACAATTCAATATTGAAACAAAATAATTTCTAGGTTTCATATATATTATGCCAGAGATAAACTGTAAAATTCATTGATCAACAATGAGTCGAAAATATACCTCTGTAATCGTAAAAATAATACTCTTCCAACGTTATATTTTCATTATATTATTAGTTAATCATAGTGGTATGATATTAACGCTTGTGTATTTGTACATTATATGTTTGTATTAGCATGCTTAGCAGTGGAACAATAATCTGTCTGCTCTGATGCACTTAAATGAACACATATGATATACGATCAAAACTCGGAATTTATACTTAAAGTTATATAAAATACATCTTGTGTCTGTGTGTGTTGTAACAGTTCTATTTTCATACACAAAAGCGGATCGATGTATTTATTTACACATGCTTTATAATATATTACTTTTGTTTATCCTTATACATTTTTACAATTTCCTTTATATCCGATATTTTTTTGATCATCCGCTCTTGTATTGATAACTGTTCAAATTTGAAGTGCAGATCCTCCATTGATTAGGCCATAATAAGTTTATATTTTTAACAATCATACGTAATATGCGAAGGCAATGTAGAGAGGATATCTTCAAGAATCATTATAACCCTTTGAGAGTGTTATCTTCACAGATACAGTTTCGTTTATATTGAATAATATTTTTTCTTTCATATGCTTGTCAACAACGTCTATTGTCTCAATATTTTGCTAAATCATTTGCATTTACAACAACAATTTTAAATAAACAACATGCATAATCCGCCCTAAAATATGCACGTAATTTTGCTGTATTAAACTAGTTTAGGATTCAGTGACAAATATAAATTAGATTATTTTATGTTATGTTCGTGAGACGTTGTTCTGTATCTCAAATAAAAATATTTCATATCCTGATCTGATTGTTGTTGACTTAGATGAACGTGTTTACATTTTAAAAATGGTAGTCAGAAATGTAGACGTTCTTTAATATTGCAACATTCTAAATCGAAACACGACTTGTATTTTATATTAAATGGACGTGTCAGTCAGTTCCTTGAAAATCTTCTTTATGTGTTTCTTGATTGTATCACCGAACTTTAATTAACATCACCTTATCAATTTTTTTAAAAGAGAAATAAATTCAATAAATACCATGATCGTTAACATTAAAAAAATTTACGATTCTAAAATTTTGTAGAAATTGTTTTTTTCTACATCCAAGAAAACAATTTCGAGTTTAATATCTGTACGACTTGTCGAGATGAATACACATGATAATACACGAGTATAATAATAACACGAATTAAATCTAAATATTTCTGTGGTCACAAGCCTTAAATCTTAGCAAAACCTTTTAATGTTATATGCAACCAGTAAGACTTAGGTCTTTAGTTTGCCCTAAGTATCGCTTGTCGTTGCAAATTATATTTTGAGGTAGACAAGTATATTCTTCAAATAGCTTTTCATAGCTATAGGTAAAGCTAAACCAAATGATAAGTTTTCATTTAAGAAAGATGCCACATTACGTTTAATTTTATATCTTAATAGACCACAAATATAGCCTAAATTTACTCGCAAGATCGTAAAGTAGCCATGAAAGCTGTAATTCGATTCTTAGTTCACATTGCAACCAACAGTATTGGAAAGGGTAGAATATAATACCCTCTAAAAGCGTTGCCATACTGATGAATTTCTGTTAAAGCTACAAGAAAAAATTAAGTGTCAAAAATTTCATGCATTTTTAACATTAATACGATTGCAATATAATTATTGTGAGTGGTATCAAGATTTTAAATAGACAAGGATAACAAATTTGATGCTAAATGTATTAAAAATGTTCATAAAATCTAAGACTGGAAGCTATTGTACTCGAATGTCGCATTGAGAGATTAAAATCGTTAATTGTATTAATTTTTATCGTCATATTCGTATAGAATTATATTATCTTGTATGTTCCTTGACTATGTTATAATATTTCAACATTGTTTTACATTATATTAATAGGTACTTATATTTTCATTTGTTCTATTTTCAGGTCTATGTATATGTGTGTACGCGCGCACGCGCGTTCCGATGGCAATGACAATAAATACTTGTACATTCAGTACAAGAATGTAATTTTTTATTCTCATCAATGAAAATGCTCGTTACGATGTCACACTACCTGTTTCATTCTTTTATATTACTAAGATATAGTTTACCTTCATGTTTCAGGTACTATTTTTGTACCTCCTACTTCTGAATTTTAAGCCGCAATCAAAATATATAAATTCACTATTTTTTAAACAAAATATTAATCTATACTCTTGATTATGTCAATAATATGCAGTAATTTACTATTTATTAAGACAATTCACATTATGGAGATTAAGTTATATTAGAGCGCATTTCGCTATTGAGTAAACCAATCTATAAATGATAGGTATACATATGTGCATGTACACATTGCGATTTCATGTCAATCGCCAAAATAGTTAATCTATACTAAATCTCATAGAATATTAAATTTTACGATTGTGTATCTGAAGTTCCACTTTTTTTTTCTCCCGCAAATAACGACGGAAAATAATTATTATAACGCCATACAATACTGTTTAACAAAATCTACAATTAACACTGCATATTTATGGAACATTACCTTTCATCACATACATGTAATTTATACAAGAGGATCGTTATCAAGATCCATTTCTTCTACAGTGATATAAAGTCCTTCTTCCTCATATGTAGACTCATGTTTTGCTAAAACTTTGAGTAATGGCCGCAATTTCATCCACCACTGATATGTCGGAATGCGGTGTCTGAAAATTTTACGAAACGTAAGTACACATTTCCGATGAAAATCAACTGCGATGCATTCCCGTTACTTACTCGAAATCCGTAACTTCAATAAGTTCTGTAAACGGCGTAAATCTATACTGTCTTCGCACAATACCAATCATAACTGCACTATCAGCATCCATCGCCGTTACCTTACTGCCATCGTTACTATATTTTTTTAATTGTTCGCTAAACCACTCAACTGCCTTAGACCCCATTTTTGTGCCCAAATTGCGATCAAATGGAGTCGGTGAACCACCTTGTTGCATGTGACCTATAAAAAATTTTGTAACTTGAGATCTATTGTTATTTAAAATATAAGATAGTATCAATTGTTAAACATATACCAATAATGTTCATTCTACAGCTGAATAGACCCTTTCCTTCTTCGCTAAAAAGTCTCTGCATAAAATCTGTATTATAATTCAAGTTAGCATTTTCATTTCTCAAAATAAGACCTCTCTGTACACCTTCAGACATTTTTGCTGCCATCGCAATGACATCTTGATTTAAGTCTTTAATATTAAACTTCTCTTCGAAAATATATGCTGCGTCAGCACCTCCGGCTAATCCAGCGACCGTAGCTAAATAACCGCAATATCCACCCATAGTTTCAATAATAAATACTCGACGCTTTGTACCTTGCGCCGATTGACGAATTCGATCACAGATCTAAGAATAACACAGATACACTTGACTAAATGAAATATTATACCAATTGCTGTATTATAAAATAACATATACACAACGTAAAAAATTCTACCTCTGTAATTTCATTTAAAGCAGTGTCACAACCTAATGAAAACTCGGTTCCTGGAACGTTATTGCTAATAGTCGCCGGAATCATAGCAATAGGAATTCGAAATTCTTCATACTTGTCCCTAGCTTTGAAAAAGGTAAGTCCTGTTTGATAACCCTTTTAGAAAATAAAAAACAATAACACATTATAATAGTAAGCAAAATTCTGAAAGACAGTGTACGAATTACTTTAACCCTGCAGAGATTGCGGTTAATCTGATAGATACATACGGAATTTGTTGAAAAATATTCTTAAAAAGGCATATCGTAAATCTTGCTGACAAAGAATAGCTATTATATAATAGATTAAATCTGTATATGTGTGTCATAGGAATATGTTATTTCCGTGAGAAATTTCTATATTTCAAACGTACTAATATTATTCGTGACGAATGTTTTTGGATTCTTACGCGTCTATCAATGAAGAATTCTAATTAGCTTATATAATTGTTACTTTTCTTATCCTTATTACTATGAATGTTTAATATCTATACTAGGTTTAATAATTATTAATAGTATCTGTTTTAATAAAATGAAATTTGTAATAATTTTTATATAAAAATCGGCACTGCAACACGGATTAAAGTCATTAACAATAAATACACCGCGATCTATGACGGAATTATTATAACCGAGATCTTCACAGAATTAAAGAACCATTACCTCAAACCCTCCTATGATGAGCAAAGCTTGAATTCCATATTCTTTAAGTCTCTGAGCAATTTGAGGCAACTGCTCCTCTTTGGGTGGAGCACGTTTAGTTCCTAAATAAGCACCACCTTGTGCTACCCAACCAGTGACAGAAGGCCAATCCATCAATTTAAATTTTCCACCCATAAGGCCCATTATTCCGTCGCAAATACCATATACCTAGAAGTTTGTAACATGAGATCTTGTATTACTATATAAGGATGTACTCATTTTTAAGACGATACCTTATCACCTCGATATATACAGTTCCGAACGAAAGAACGCACCGCAGCATTCATACCACAAGAAGGTGAACCAATATGCATCACACCTAACGTATAGTGTTGCTGTAATAAAATTTGGCGTTAATATTGTGGGGATATTTGATGTCGATTCATGCAGCGTGCACATAAAAAATAAATGCATTCTGCAATTTAACATAATGTTTGATATCAAGACTTTTAGTATGCTTGTGGTTTCTCTTATTCTAGCAGAAATACTTGTTACAGGTTATAACAATGTTATATTTGTTTAGTAATAAGAGAAATAAAAGAAATAAAAGAAATAAAAGAAAAGAAACAGACAAAAGAGAACAAAAATAACATCAAGATTTAGAAGTTAGTTAACTCACTTGTCCACATAAAGTGAATTGCTAATTTAGAAGGAATAGATGAGACTGTTAGAAAGGCTATTTTATGATGCATTAAAATTTAATATTCAGCAAAAATATATACACTTATACTTTCTTCTCTCAAAACAAATTTACCTTTTTTAATATCGGGCCATTACTTTCCTGAAGCAGCATTAAATAAAAGATATAATATAGGCAAATCTTCACTTTTTATATATTCTAGATACCAGAACTAAAAACCTTCACATGTTTTTTGTATGATTCATTATGTAAGATGTTCCGCAGTCGTGGTACAACAGAAAGAAAATAATTCGAAACGAATTTTCATGAATAGTGAACATTCGGTAATGAATATTCAGACTTGATTTTCGAAACGAAACTTCATATGGAAAATCTTTATTCTATACTTTAAATTATTTGGATATCAGGAATCGTCTCTTTTTCGATAGTACCATGATTTCGGAAACAACCTGTATATTTATTCAACTGATTTCATATTTATTATTTTAATAATCTTATATGTTTGATAGAAGGCTTTAGGTTCATATCAATCTTTATATTATATGCAAAATTGCAACATACCTTACTAGGGTCGTGATCTACAGGTGCTTTCAAACGGGTTAACATTTTATATGTATCCAAATTACGAGCAAATCCCCTAAAAATATTTACAAAATGTAATATAATTAAAGTTTTATTTCAGTATGTAGTATGGATAACATACTTTCCGCGAAGTTTAACAGCAAGTTCCCAATTTTTATCAGCCATAGCTTGTGCTACTGCTTTAGTACGACGAACGCACTCCATAAGAGGTAATCTAACAGCTTGATTGCCATCTAGTGTAACAACACATGCTTCAGTGTCTGGTGTCGCTTCCATCAATGCCATTACTGCTTCTGCTCCCATTCGACAACCCTATAAGTTATTACCAAATTAATCTAATACTTTTGTCTTTAATATGTTATTGAAAAAGAACATCATGATATTGTATATACTTATATAATAACTAACCAGAACTCTATCGAAAGCTGATGGATTACCACCTCTTTGAACATGACCAAGAACTGTAATCCTTGTGTCTTGTTGCAGTTTGTCTACAACAACTTTATGAACCTTCTCAGCAGTAATTGGTTGGCCGTTTCTATCTATTGCGCCTTCTGCCACAATAATAATGTTAAGTCGTTGTCCTGTGAGTCTTTCCTAAAAAATATATTTTAAATTTTTATAATCTTACACAATACGTATACGTAAGACAAATTGAAAGTTACATAGATAAGTGCAAAGATCGTTTACAAAAAAAATTTAGTTCGAAAGAAATTAAATTGTAGGCGAAAGAAAAGATAATAATATGCCAATAATATATGCCAGATAATAATGCCAAACATTTAATTTGTTAATTTTGGAAATAATTAAACGTTACACATGGAACATGGAACTCTCTGAAAGAACATATTGTAACTATAATAAGCTTACCATTACAAGCAAATAAACTAAACTAAGATTAAAATATCTATAATATTCCTCTTCTTACTCATGAAACAGCATAGCAGCAAACAGCAAACAAGAGCATAAATTTAAAGCAAGGAGTCATTCTGTGATATTACAAGCAATGAGAAAATTAAATAGTTTTATAGAACTGTTTAAAAAATAAAAAAAAAAGATGTGCAGACCTGTAATAGCTTTTTGCACAGCTTGTTTGGCCAATCCTGTTCAGGTGGCCACTCTGGGATGAACACATAATCAGCTTCGGAACATATGGCTGCCACTAGAGCCAGGTAACTGTAATAGTATGTTATAAAAGCCAACTAAAAATATTACATTACATATATAACACAGTAACTATAATATAGTGAAATGGCCAGGTCCAATTTAAACTATTGATATAAATGTGAAGATAAATAAAGAAAAATGTTACTGTTAAAACATTACAAAAATATAATATTGCAAAAAGTTTAAAATCTTGTTTAGTATTGGTAACAAACTTTTAAAACTGAGAGAAATTTATAATATAAATGACCAAAAACTAATATATTCCTATTCTTCTTGATAATTTAACTATTTTGATGAAGGAGCAGACACACGTTTAATATGAATAAAAATGAACTCAATACAATATAATCTGGCTAATAAATTTAATATTATAGAAAAGCATGATTCATTAAAGACAGTATAATGATTGATCAAGGACGTGCCTGTTGCACAGCTTTGCAAAGTTCCTCAACCCAATCACCTGACGGCGGTACTTCAGGTATAAAGCAATAGCATGCTTCAGAAGATAAACTTGAAGCTAACGTCAGATACCTGAAAGACCTTTATTTTTTCATTATATTCACACTACCTTGAATTACTTTATTAGGACTTGTCCCTATCCTTACATTAAAAAGTTATTACAAACGAAGTTTTTGGTTCTTTTAATATTCTGCTTAACTGTAAGAAGGTGAGAAGGAATATGTGTAACACTGACAACAGAATTAAGCAATTAAAAATACATGAAAGACGACAACACAAATTATTGAATTTGTTAAACTAAATTAGGGGAGAAATAACACTGTAACAAAAAATTTAGAAAATTCCTAAACAACGTGCCTGCTCCAATTTTCTACATAATTTATCAGGCCAGTCAACAGGAGGCGGTGATTCCGGACAGAAAACATAGTCTGCCTCTGCTGCTAAAGCACCCACAATTGCCAAATACCTATCCAAAAGGTTGTCACATTTGTAAGAAATAGTATGAAAACAGATATCCTTCAATTTATAAAATATCGTGATTCAGTATTTTTAGTGCCAAAATACTAAATTCTTTCGAAATACTAAATAACCAACTATTTTTTTTATTTATTTAAGAAACGAAAATTCTTAGCATTTCACCAATAAAGCATAATGATCAACTTACCCGCAATGTCGACCCATAACTTCCATTATGAATGTTCTTTGATGAGAATATGCAGTACTAACAATAGCATCAATACTCTCAATAATACGATGTAATGCTGAATCGGTACCAATAGTCATGTCTGTCCCACAAAAATCATTATCGATGGAACCTACCATACCAGCAATATGTAAATGTTGGTATTTTTCTGCTTGTTCTGAAGTAATTTCACCTAAAGAAACAGCATCTTAGTAAAGTATACATAAAAATATAATATTACAATAAAAATATCGGTTTTTTATTTACCTGCTGCAGCTAATTCTTTTAATAGATCTGACCATTCCTCTTTAAATAAATTTGCACCAGTAAGCGAACCATCACCACCTATTACAACCAAGTTAGCTATTCCACGAGTTACTAAATTTTTTGCAGCTTTTCTACGACCAGCACGTTCCCTAAAGTCTTTGCAACGAGCAGATCCTATTACTGTACCACCCTAAAGTACATAATTATAATAGTTTAGAATGAAGCTGCAATAAAAGCATGACAAACAAAATACATACTTTATGAATGATACAAGAGACAGATGACCAATTAGCTTCTACAATATTATTTCCACCATCCACCATACCCTGATAGCCTTCATTGATGAAAAAAACTTTACAACCTAGGTAAATACCCATTCTAACAACCGCTCGAACTGCTGCATTCATTCCTAATGAATAAGTTTTATTATTAAAATTTAAGTAATAAAATATTAATTAATATGTATTCCTATTTTTTAATTGATCTTTTACCTTGAGAGTCACCTCCACTAGTAAAGACTGCAAGGCCTTTACCTTTATGACTACCAGGTTTTATGAACCTCTGTGCTGCTACTTCTTCTGCCATCTTTGCTGCAGGATACCGAGTATATCCCTGTAATATAACTTTTTTTGTAACTTTTTAGATAAAGAATTCACTTTATTCCTTTATTTAATAATATAGTAAGTGCTTATGATAACTTATCTTATAGATAGATATTAATCAATGTGCTTCTTTCGTTATTATTACAAAAACAAAATTGTCTCTTTTTTTCTAATAATCAGATCATGATCTTCCTCATTGTCATAACAGAAATATAGACGAATATTTAATAGTAAATCAAAATATTTTCTTATAAGCAACCATTTCAATTTTGTATCAATCTAATACAAAAGCACAAAGAATATATGGAAGAAGAATGTGTTATATCCGCCAAGTTTTCAACTCACTTGTAGAGGAATTTTTGGTTCCTTTTGAATATTAAATAATATTGAACTTTTATCAATATTATTTTCTGTTATGCTCGGAACTGAGGCACATACCGTACAAAAATTAATTTTATCTTTTAGGAAGTTATGTTCTTTGTCATCTGATAAAAAGATTTATATTATTTTTCAAAATTATTATTATTTATGTTCTAATAACAAAATAGATTCTATACTTAATACATATTACTTTGTTTTGGGATTGGAACATGAGAAAAAGTAACTTCTTCCTTTGACTCTTTTGTTGTGCAAACACATATTTCATCATATTTTATGGACATTATATTATACAAGTGAACATACAAGAAATTTAAACAGACATTAAGAAATAAATTCTTATGCCCTGCATAATATATGTAACCTAAAATAATAAACACTATTTACACTATAAATCAACTCTATTCTTTGTCATAACATGAACATAGTAGCATCCCATTCATTTTCAGGAATTCATTACAAACATTTGTGTGACAATCATTGTTTATGCATGTATGAAATACACTTTTCATATTACAGTATACTGTAATAGCCTTTCCTGTATGAGCATACATTGCACAAAAATTAACGCACAATGACAAAGTAAATAATAAATATAATATAAAATAACAACATCGAATTTTCGTCGAATAACAACTTATTTCACATAAGATAGTAATTAATCAAGGGCGAAAAATGAAAAGTGTAATGAATACACGAACAATGTTAAAGAACGTTACAACATGAAACATCTTCAGCAGTCCTTCGTATTTTAAAATAAGATAGCATGTGTTCAAAGAATCAATGGAATCTAGCACAGTCTCAATCTGTCGTGCATCAAAACATCGGAATAACGATGTTAATACCGAGTATAGGATAGATCATTGGGATTACTTCATTTGCATTTGCAAGGTAAAATTAATATATAAAAAACGTCAAACTAATTTAAAAAATATATAGACTGATGAGCAGCAAAGCAAATAAATTTATTAAAAAATTGAATAATAGTCTATTGTAATGTGTATACAAGATAACGTCACTTTGTCACTGACAATTAGTCATTTAGTTATTTATTATCTATAAAAAGTACTTTTATATGTGTATATGTAAAGAAAATTAAATAATTTTCAACTCACCGAACAAATATATGTCCAGTTACCAATAAAGATTAGAATGTAGACAGTTCTTGTCTGATTTTAAAATTTCCTATACTTGTAGACTTACAACACTCTGACTGAACATCAGACACCGCTCTCGCGTCTTGAGTCCAACTAAAACTGAAGGTGACCTTTACGTGTGCTTCAGCACGAAGTCTCCCACCAGTAATATTTGCTATCCAGCTCTCGCCCCTCCGCCTATGTAAAATTAAATTTAGGAAGTGGCCGTAGATGGTGCTAGTGATACATAGACAGCCAATACGATATTTCCTTGCCGCTGCATTTATTTTACGAAAACTATTTTAAATTCTGCTTACTAAAAATTTATATAGTTTTGCCTGCCCTATTTTTTGTTGGAAGAAAACTAATTTCTATATATTCTGCTATATGCTATATGCAAAGATTGATAAATTCTGCAAAAAAACTTTCTACGTATTCATTATTTTGATCATACATATAAAACAGCAAAACATCTTGACTTAACCTATGGATTCAATCATCATTTTCACTAAATAGTTATTGACATACGACCTATCAAAGACAATGTAATTCATTCTAATAATAATCTGAGATAAAATGAACTTTGCACGTCATAAATAACAATATATAAATATGTACTTTTACGGCTCCTTTACGAATGTGGTTGACATTTAGTTATTTTTATTTTCAGTCGTGTCACTGAAAAGAACAGAAGCTCAAAAATACCATCTATTTGCTTTTGCTTTAACAAATCAAAATTTCATCAACTACTAATAGAAAAGTTTTATGACGTCTTGTGTATATATACGTGTATGTAGATTGATCTATGATCAGATTATTAAGTAACGAATTTTTATCTCTAAAGAAAGAAATTAGTAACAGTGCCGAAAAAAATTATACGTGACAATGTCAATATTATTATTACACATTTAAGGTGTAATAAGATATCTTTATACAACATATAAAAAGAATATCTTTGGATTTTAGCGATAAATTTCATCAAAACTGATCATTCTTTAAAAAATCAGCTGTAATTGATCCGCCGGATTTTCAAACAAATTATTTCAGTTGTTTCTACATTTTATCAACAAATCAATTTTTTGTTTTACTTCTTTCGTAAATTTTATTACCTGCTGTTACTTTAATCCAATTTCGTTGGTCTTTTATCTCCAGCAATTATGTAAAGATCTGGATAACAGCCCTATGAGCAAAAAATAGTACGCAACTAAACTAAGTACTTTGCAAGTACTCGTTATATGCACTTCGTTATCTTGCCCTATGACTTCATATTTTTAGTATGAAGCACGATGGAACAAAAAATGTTATGTCGAAATATCGTGAACTACTATTAGACCGATTCGATCTTATATAATCGGTTGCATTGGAAAAAAGAGAAAAAAAAAGAAAACTAAACGACAAAGAAATAAAGAGAATCTAGATATTTGAAGAAAATAGAAAGTTCCTTTATCAACTACGTCGATTGTATGTAAAGACTTGTATAATTATTTTGCAGTAGGATTCTTTTCTTGAAAAAATGCACGTATGCGAGTACGTATGCAAAAATAAAAAATTATGACGCGACACAAGAATGTAAGGATCTACATACGGATACTTATTAAAAGCCAACTAAATTACTATATTTTCGTAGTCGAATATACAAACATACATATTTTCGTATAAACTTTGAAAGTTAACAAGATGTACAAAGACATCGCGAACCCATTCAATGGCTAAGTTCTTAATTTCAATATAGGTTACCAAAATGTTGCAACACTGCTTTTTCTTTTATTTCAAGAGGGTTAAATTTAAGTGAATATCGTTAATACACAATCTGTTTTATTAAAAACCAATCCCCTCCACTTCTAGGCTTTTATTCGCTCGAATCAGTGTTGAAAATGATATCAAACAATTTTCATTTCACATCCAATCGAACCTATTTTTACCTATTTTCTAATTCTCTTCAGTATCTACATAAGATGGATCTCGAATCAATGATACCGAAGATAAATTATGACGAAGCTAGCGAGCATGAAAACGATAATAATAATATTAATTGTAACGAAGAATTCTTACTGTATAGGAACATTGTGCTTACGTTGGCCTAGCCTCCGAAATCAAGTTTTCAAAATCTGTATTTAAAATACTGTTAAGGATGTAAGCGTTATTATGTTTTTGGACTTATTGACTCAATATAGAATATACTGTCCTTCCAGAACTTGATAATACTGGAAAGCAGAACAATCGAGATTATGGCTTTTCTGAGACATTTTATCAGAATTTATTATTTCGTGTAAACGTTTATAATAATTATAATTTACAATTACGATGATCGATGATAAATACAAATAGAACAACATAACTCGGGACGAGGAAACTAGGAAAATGTAGCGGATGAATATTTGAAATTTGCGATGGCTAGCTTTCTCCACGAGGAGAGAGAGAGAAAGAGAGAGAGAGAGAGAGAGAGAGAGAGAGTGAGTGAGTGAGAGAGAGAAATTTTACGAATCGAGATATTATATAATTATTAAAGTGAAGGACAATGTTTTACCATTTGTTGTTATAACACAGTGATAAATATTTCGATAATCAAATTACTAATCTAAACTTTTACAATGATCGAGTAAAAAGTAAATAGAAACGAGAAAATGAATAAAGGAAATGAGCGCAGGAAGGATTCAAATAAGAAAATTACAAAAATTGTACATCACCCCTTCGTAACCCGTAAGAGATCTTCAATCTCTTTATCTACAAAGTAAATTTACGACGATGTCATTAATAAAAGAAAAAAAAAAAAAAGATATATGTATATATACATACTCGAAGATCAAAATATTGAAGGAAAAAGATATATAAATCGATTACAACGAATTAATGCTCCTTGTAGTAACAAGGATATAAGGACAAATGTTGATGGAACGCCGATGGTTTAGGAATTCCAAAAGGGCCAAGGAGAAAGAAAGAGGAATTGAATATTACTAAAGATGCGCTGCGCGAGACCGGTATTAAAGAACAATATATGTAGTTGCCTTCAAAGAATGGTGTCAATTTCCTTTTATAATATCTACCCGAACTCGCTTAACTGGTTCATTTATAGTTGGATTTAAGAAGACTCTCTCGGGAACCATTCTGCATAATTTTATCGTACCATTCTTAGTTCTCAGTCTCTTTTGCATCGGTAACTAATACTTGCGTAAACCGATAGAAAACGCACATTAAAAGGAATAAAATTATCAATCACGGATTCAATCGGTACTTTTCGAACGAAATCGTAATCTACGGATTAGTATTGATTTCCCACGTTGCTATTCGGAATCGATTTTATGGATACCTCTGCAAAATCGACTCGTTTTCGTACTCCAACTTCGTTCATTCATACTCTATTGTGTGTTCAATGCGACAGAAACATGGACACATTAAAAAGTACAACATATTTGGGGAACGTTTACCCACGCAACACACGCTGTAATACCGATAATCGTTATTTGTTTCCATATGGTAAACATTTACGTATATTATTATATGTTTTGTGTCTGTATATGTAAGTCTACGCCTGTGTGTTTAGGGTAAGCGCGCGTATTTTACATACACTTAAAAGTATCCATGCATACGAGACGAAGAATATGTCGAGTTCATTCTACCGAGACAGGTAGATTAGGACCTAATGGAATGGACCGAACCAGAGGCGGATGGTGGATTTCTAAGGATTTCAACCGACTATGTAACAATAGAAACAGAGTAAAAAAGAAACGAAAGCGAACAAATATTTAACGTTTATTTATTTTTAATATTGTAAAAAAGAATGATTGGTTTTAACATAGAAACAAATGGAATTTCGTTTATTCGATCGGCGAAAATTAGGAATTGTTACTTAGAATTTAACTAAGATACAAAACGGACTTGCCATAATTCTCAAATAATTAGAAGTACTTGATTCATACATATATACATGTTAATCCGCCCCTGGACCGAACGTATCCGTTGCATTTGGACGCGATCGATTTATCGTTATCGTTATCGTTTGACTCTTCCCATTTTTAAAATGGCAACGTTCGTCCCTTTTATCAAGGTTTCGTTTGAGCCGATCACAGACCGTTACACGTCTTTGTGATCTGCCGTTTGAATACGTCACCCCGAGATACCAAAAGAAACATGTTGTTTGATAAGTTGTGATGGTTGATGGTATAGGTCACTATATAGGTGATCGATCAAGATCTATAATGGAGCTTTTATCCGTTAAGGAACAAACGGAAAAAAATTCATTCCGCCAACTTCGCATTTTTTTTACATTAACCGAATTCATAGATAATGCTCTGCTTAGAAGAAATTCTGTAAAGTTATTAATATAAATTTGCAAAATAGCAGGATATAACGAATTATCCTCGAACTCTATCGACAAATTTCACGAGATCGATCATGCCGACAAAAAAAGCTGATTATATATATATAATATATATACATGCATACACTCACGCACATACATATATACAAATGAGTATAGATGCTTGCGTACTTGCGTATGTATGTTAAAATTAAGGAGAATATGATTTTTTTTTTACACGCGTACACATAATTTGTTCTCGTTTTCTTTTTTTTCCTTTCGTTTATCATGACATTAGTAATCGAGTTTCCGGTAAATATCTGTTGTATATATATTATTGTGTATAATATATGTATATATATTATAACATATATACGGAAGAGAGGGGAAGAAAGAAAGATAGAAGAGAGGAGAGGAGAGGAAATGGAGGAGGCGGAGCATAACGAGAGAAAGAGAATCACAGCTTGTGAGAATTATTGTAGTTAAAAATCAGGACAGAAGAAATATCGAGAGAAATTTCTTAAGAGGTAGTCACGTATCGATTGGCTGTTTAAGTAATCAAAATCAAGCGTCCCCTTCCTTCTCAGATATTCACGCGTTAGCAACGGACGGTCATGGCGTACGATGGATAAAAATGCATTCTTAAAGTTATGTGCTTCACTCACCTCGATAATACAGCAACTATGATAAGGACAAAAATTCGAATTTTGAAAAAATATTTAAAAGCAAAAGAGTCGTTTTAAACGTGTCAATTATAAACCATACACACACGGGTACGCGTACACATAAAAAAGATGGAATAGAAAACAGGAAACGAATATGCACGCAAAATGTAGTATTCTGTACTCGCGTGCACGCGTGTGTATGCATAAGACTTTTTCGTGTACTACTAACGTGCAATATGTAAAAAGTATTAAATGTAAAAATTAAGTCACCACTGATGTGTTGGAACTTAATAACTTAATGTATTTTTACTCTCCTTTCTCCTCCTGCG